TGTGCTTTATTAAAGTTTGACATGAAGTTATTGACCACAGACTGTTTCCATCAGAAAACTCAGTAAATTATTAATTAAACCTTCTGTTAAATGTAGGTATAATCATTTCATCATCTGTTTAAAATAACAAGGTCGTCCTTCTACAAACGTTATCAGGCTCTGATTAATGTTTTCCGCTGCCAAACATAAAAACATAAAACTCCCGGTTAATTATTTATTGTCATGACGTTTTCTCCAACAATGCCCAGCGTGTGTGTGTATACAAACATTAATAAACCACTCACTACTTTGCATGTGGCTGGTCAAACAAATTTGTTGGAGGTGCTTTATTAAAGTTTGACATGAAGTTATTGACCACAGACTGTTTCCATCAGAAGACTCAGTAAATTATTAATTAAACCTTCTGTTAAAATGTAGGTATAATCATTTCATCATCTGTTTAAAATAACAAGGTCGTCCTTCTACAAACGTTATCAGGCTCTGATTAATGTTTTCCGCTGCCAAACATAAAAACATAAAACTCCCGGTTAATTATTTATTGTCATGACGTTTTCTCCCTGGACGAATCCTTTACATCCGTCTCAACAACTTGCACACTAGTGACACCTTGAGGTGAGATGCTGCCAATTCAGGAAGCCTCATGAAAGAACTAGAAAGTTCCAGGCTCCCCCCAGTGGCCAGTTGTGGTAATCACTCGAAGGTTCCTGAAGCCTCTGCTCCTCCTCCTGGTAGAATATAAAAGCTGAGACGGTCCCACAGCTGAGACACAAACCAAGACAGAGACAGAAGTGAACAGACACTTGAAGAGTGTTTCCTCTGACAACAAGAAGACTCAGCTCTAAACACACTCTGAACATGCTGTGCTCTCATGGACTCCACTCTCAGCTCAGTCCACTCATGGACTTCCACTGGACCGTGGGGCCACAGGTCAGACCTCTGCTCTACCAGCAGCATCTCCTGCACAGGAACCTTCAGGAGCTGTGCAGCAGTCTGGAGCTGATGGACAAACTTCAACAGCAGGACCTGGAGGACAAGAAGAAGAAGAAGAAGACGTCTGTCCAGAGCTGTCAGGCCCTGGAGACACCTTCCTACCAGCTGCAGAAAGACGGAGACAACGTTGGCCTGGTCCTGGACACACGAGGCTTTTCTCCAGCGGAGCTGACTGTCAGGCAGGTGGGCAGGAAGCTGAGGGTCAGCGGGAAGACGGAGAAGAAGCAGGAGGACGGGAAAGGCTCCTACTCTTACAGCCTGCAGGAGTTCAGACAGGAGTTTGATCTGCCTGAAGGACTGAACCCTGAAGACGTCACCTGCTGCCTGGCTCCAGACGGGAAACTCCACATCCAGGCAGCCAGAGCTCCATGTGAGGAGGCAGAGAGAGAGCTGACTATCAGGAGGAGCACGGAGGAGAAAGGGGAGCAGAGTGTGTCTTCACACACAGCAGAGTCACAGCAGCAGCAGCAGCAGCAGCAGAGTCACAGCAGCAGCAGCAGCAGCACTGACTCAGACAACAGTCCTGGACCAAACATGGACTGATCACAATATTGTTTTTTGCAGTGTTTATTTTTCATACAAATGTTCAAAAATAATTGTCTATTGTCTCTATAATTGTCTCTATATTGTAATGTACATGATAATAATTGTCTCTATATTGTAATGTACATTAAACCAATAAACACACGTTAATAAATACAGATGAATTTAATTGTGTTTTTTTCCCTCACTTTTAGAAGAAACCAACAGTTTGTCACTGATCAGCCACAAAGTTTCTAGTAATTTTCTTACTAGAACTTACTAGAACTTTCTAGTAATTACCACAACTCTCCACTGGGCGGAGGTGTCGTACATGGTTTTAGAAGCTTCTCGTCCTTTCCCATCGTAGATTTGTCCACAGATCTGATCTGATGTGGACAAATATGAAACTTTGATCTTAGGAACTAAAATGTCTGTAAAATCAAAAACCTTTTAAGAAAAAAATATTAACAAACGTATGTGCAGTAAATATATTAGATTTAAAATTATATTGACAAACAAAGTACAGAACAAAATGTTTACTTATTTTATTTTATTTTTTTAGAAAAGTCTTGGTTTGGCCACAGTAGGGAATAAAAAAATCTCTTTAAACTTTGTTTTTATAATAAATCAACTGTTACTTGTGTTTAAAGGTTAACAGAAAAAATATGAATTTTCCACAAATGAATTCAGAGACAATAACACATCACTGCATTACATCTAACAACAACTAAATAATGAAATCATTTTGATTATTTGGATTCACGTGACTCGTGGTTTCACTGGAATTTTCTACCGAAAACTTTCCTTTCTTTTTATTTCAAATTCCTAAATGAACTGATTCGAAAAATCAAATCAAAATTAAATTAAATCATTAAATTAAATTAAATCAAAATGCTTTGTTTTATAAAAGACTGATCAAACACAGTTCAACACGTGATGACGTCATGATCAAACGGTGGGGGGGGCTTTAATTTGGACTCTTCTTCTGCTGCATCATGAATCAAGGCTGAGTCACATGACTCTTCTAACCAATCCAAGACTCGCACCTGCAGCCGTGCGCAGCAGACAGACCGACAGACAGACCGACAGACAGACGGGATCAGTCCACGGTGTCCACGGCGGCCTGCACGGTAACAGCAGCTCTCGAAGGATCTCCCAGGTCCCGTGAGAATCTCCTCTGAATATCCGCTCCACAAATCCACCAACACCTTCGTCCATCCGTCCTGATGCCGCCGGACAGCAGCGACTCCGTGGCCGCGGACAGACGCATGGATCTGGCGTCGTTCTTCTGCCTGATCGCCCGCCACGGTCCGGCCGTGGTTCTGGCTGTGATAGCGGGAGGTTTCCTGCTGCTGGTCTTCATCCTCTACAGATCCGTGAGAGAGAGGCGGAGGAAGGCCACGAGCACCGCAGCCGCAGAGAGGGACGGGACAGACGGGAGCCACGGGGGGGAGACGCACGAGAAGCGGATACGAACCGAGCCGAGGCCGAGGGAACCAGAGAGAGAGCGCGGTTCGGCTGGCGAGGCAACAAGGAGAACACATGAAAGAATAATAATAATAACAACAATAATAATAATAAATGTAATAATAATAGTGATTATTATTATTATTAACGACCTCCAAACACATGTTTGCAGCCATTTCTTGTCTATGTATTTGTGACGTCACGTTGTTAATGCAAATCTAAAATTTATAAAATGAATAACATTTTCAGAATTATGGACAAATAAAGACTGTGATGTTTCTGTTCTAACCAGCCCTGGTTCCAGTGAAGTGTTAACCCTGCTTTGATTTCCAGATGTGAACAGCGACGCTTGGTCCAACGTTGAGGAGGAATCAGACCGGTTCGTGCTCAGGCACCGCGCTGCTGCTGCTGCTGAGAAGAAACCTCCTCTTCCTCCTCCTCCTCCTCCTCCTCAGAGTGACCTCAGCACAACTGAGCACCAGAAAACCCCCCCAGAACCAGTACCTCCCAGGAGCCACGGAGAAGAGTCCGAACCCAAACCTCAGCCGGACTCTCCCCAGAGGAGACGTGACGAAGACCAGGTCCACGATGATGACAGGAAGAGGAAGAAGAAGGAGGTGAAGAAGGTGAGCCGCAGTTTGAATCACACTCCACTGTTTACACCAACAGGAAGTGTCTTTGATGACGGTCCGAGCTCCTCGGGTTAGCACGTCCTCGGGTTAGCACGTCCTAGGGTTAGCACGTCCTCGGGTTAGCACGTCCTCGGGTTAGCACATCCTAGGGTTAGCACGTCCTCGGGTTAGCACATCCTAGGACATTTTGGTTTTTTTGGCATCAATTTGATTGTTATTTATTTGTACGCTTTTTAATATTTTTGCAACATCTGTTGCTGTTTCTGTTTCATTGTCATTATTTCTGTCCAGGTTTGGGGTTTAAAATCTTTAACGCTTTTATTATGGGCTAATTCTTTAGCCCAGTGACCTAGCCTCGATGATCCTAACGGTAGCTTCTTACCGTTGCTCTCTTTAATCGACCCATTTTCAGCTTTTTTTCTCTCTCTCTCTGCAGCAGAGTCTGAACGATCAGTCACATGACGTTTTTCTTCTTCTGTGATTTTCATCTTATTAAACAGCGTTAATGTTCTTGCAGGTGAAGAAAGAGAAAGTTGTGAAGAACAAGACGGTGACCAGAGATGACGACACAGAAAGAAAAAGTCAGAGGGCGGGAAGTCGTGTGGACTTCAACCAAACAGACGACCGTGACCACCGCAGGGTCTTCACACCAGAAGAGCAGAAGACTGACCAACGTGAAACAGAGAAGTTTGTGGACCAGCAGTTGGACCAGGTGTCGTCGTCCTCTCAGCAGGACCAGTGTGAACCACTGACAGTCTGTGACACGAAGCAACTTTTGGTTGACGTAAACGATCATAATGTCACGATCCAGACGGACCCGGTGGAGGAGAAGACAACAGTCAACAGTTTGGGCGCTGAACTACGGCGGATCCTGAAAAGTTCTGAGGACTCTGTAGAGGTGGAACATCTGGAGGTAGCTCAGGAAACGTCAGAGGTTGATGGTTTCTCCGACTTGTCAGTGAATCTTCAGTCAACAGACATCGATGAGAAAGAAACGTCCTCATCTTTGGAAAAAGATCTTCCAACATCTGACTTGGACTTGACATCTACTGAGGTTGAACTTCAGTGTGTGGACCATGAAGCTGCTTTAGGAAATAGAACCAACCTTCATGCACCACCTTCTTCTGAAGATCAACCCAGAGGCCTGATGGGAAATGGTGAAGGAGTTGCTCCAAGTGTTAGTGTTGTTGTTGAGGCTGGATGTGAAGAACGACCAGAGGAACATGAAGAACAACAGCTTCTTCAGGTTCTTCAAAAACCCGAGGCCTGTTCCTCTACACCTGAAGAAGAACTCCATTCACCATCTACCCAGCAGGACCAGGTGACATCACCAGTTCTCAAAAACCCGTGGAGCAGGACCAGCAGGACCAGGTGACATCACCAGTTTGGGATGACGACGGTGAGGAACACGGTGAAGAAGTGACTGGAAAAGAAACGAGTGACCGACTGGAACGTCAGGTGGAACCAAAGGTTGAGAAGAAAGAGGAAGAGATGACGCCAACGACCACTGACCCAAACACCAGTTATTCCACTCTGAGTAATGTAAACCAGGCACGGAGTGTGGACCGAGAGGGACAAGACAAGGAAATTGTTGCATCTTTGGATAAAGACACAAAAGAAAGTACCGATGCCGACCTCGATCTACCAACATCCTTCGAAGACCAACCAACTGAACAAGTAGTGAAGGACACAGTTACACAAAAAACAGGAAGGAAGAACGTGAGCGCAGCTTCACCTGGAGTTATTTCTCACCCTGAAAATTTAACTTTATTTCAACATCCTTCTGTCGTGACTGAGAACCTTAACCCGTCCATTTTCCCGGGTCAGATATCGCCTTTGGAGCACGTGGACGTCACAGATGACGACATAGACATCGCGTCGTCTCCTGGTGTTGAAGTCGAAAGCGGGATTTCAAGCATGACCGTCAGTCCTGATCTGCCCGACGCTGCAAATGACTTCGGAAGAATTGTTGAAGAAACAGTGACTGAGGCTCCACACAACCTCTATGCAGATGATGTCGCTGTTTCCATCTTCACTGAAGCAACCGCCGAAATGATGTTCCGTCACAGAGACTTCACCACGTTTACAGTCAACGAGGACGTGTTCGGCCACCAGGTGGAGGACAGATACCACGCAGCGCTGGAAGAGTTCATGATGCAAGTCACAACAAAGAGTTTGAGCTCAGCCGACGAGTCGAAAACAGATCTAAGAGGTGTCGTCGAGGTCGTGGAGGAGAAGAAGAAGGAAGTGGTGAGATTAACGAAGAAAAACGAAGCAGACGCAGGAAATGAGACCGAGGAGTTGTACGAAAAAACTGAAATCAGTATCATGGAAGCCACGATGGACAATAACGAGTGGATCACAGATGCTAACGTCCACGTTCACCCCTGGATGAACCTCTCTGTCCAGTCGTTCGCTCAAGACATCACAAAAGCGGACCAGCTTCGTGCTGATGTCGAGCAGCTAAGCTCTTCACGCCCTGGTATCGACTCTGGACCTTCCACTGAACCCAAACAAACCGGTGCTGTTCCTGTTGTTGATGAAAACACAGAAGTTAACAAAAAGGTCCTGGCCGTTCAGCCCATGCCGCAGAATGTGAACGTGACCTTCCGGGTCCATTACCTCACCGACTCGCTGTACCAGATGGTCGCCGTCACAGGGAACCAGCAGGAGCTCGGAAACTGGAAGGACTACATCCTGCTGGAGGAGGACAAGGACGGACACTGGGCCACGGTGGTCAGCCTGCCCGCTGAGAGCCACGTGGAGTGGAAGTTTGTGGTGGTGGACAAGGGGCAGGTGTGTCGCTGGGAGGAATGTCGTAATCGACTCCTGTACACGGGCTACGGAGACGATCTGACCGTCCACAAACTGTGGGGACTGTTGTAGGAAAACGGAGGTAAAAACGGACGTTTCCTTTTTTGCCAAAGTAAATGAGTAAAGATTCACACGACTGGTCCGCTAGCAAGATTACAGGGGAATCGCAATTTGTTTAAGGTTTTATAGTCTTAATTTTAACTTGTATGCTAACAGCAAAATAACTTCAAAATCAATCATTTCAGCATTTATATTTGGTGGAGTTTTTTTTTTTCTTTTAATGCTAAGTAAAAACGCAATTGTGGGTGTGTAAAAGGTCAGAAATGGAGCTGGGCCTGTGATTGGATGTTCTGGACATGAGTATTATTTACGTCTGTACTTACTTGAATGAACTGCAGTATTACTGCAGTACTACTTTAGTCGATTGGTTCTAACTGGATGAGTCCAATAAAAGGTCTGTATTTGATTGATGTCTGTGTGGACTTTGATAAATAATTCAACCAATGGGATTCTTCCTCCGAGGACGGCCTTCAGACGGGGACTAATCAGATTAAACGCAATTGTGGGTGTGTAAAAGGTCAGAAATGGAGCTGGGCCTGTGATTGGATGTTCTGGACATGAGTATTATTTACGTCTGTACTTACTTGAATGAACTGCAGTATTACTGCAGTACTACTTTAGTCGATTGGTTCTAACTGGATGAGTCCAATAAAAGGTCTGTATTTGATTGATGTCTGTGTGGACTTTGATAAATAATTCAACCAATGGGATTCTTCCTCCGAGGACGGCCTTCAGACGGGGACTAATCAGATTGGTCGTCTGGAGGTGTTAGCGTCCGGTACTTTTACGTTGACGGTTCTGGAGGTGATGAACTGTTGTTTGTCTAGATGTTGATCTGCTGTTCGTGTTTCCTCTGATGATCGTCCGTTTTAACGAATGCACGTCGTTCACTTTGACACAGCAATAATCCCAGCAATAACTGTAGAGGGTGCTGTTCTATCAGGGGGTCTCACGTCTTCACCTCTGACCTGTGACACCGTCGTGACCCCGTCTGCATGCCAAACTGTACCAGTGATTTCACGTCAATGTGCCTTTAAATGTGAACGTTTTTTTTTTTTTTTCCTTGTCGTGACGTCGTTTGTCCTTGAAACCTTGGTGTGTTTGTGAATTTTGTGTTCGTGTCTGATGCCAACAGTGTTTGTTCTTATCCAGTGTGGACTCTGTATCACAGATAACAACAGAGAACATATGCAATAATGTAAAGGCCACGCCCACCATCACTGTCGACCATTTAACGCAACTTCATCAATAAACAAATCTTCAAAACTAGAAATTCTTAGAAATGTCTTACTTAAATATATATATATATATTATATATTTACTATTTATTGTTTTTATATGTTGTAATTTTTAGGCTAATCTTCAGTTCAAATTCATTGGCTCATTGTATTTGTCTCGTTTGCAGGCTAATATTTAGCTAGCCTTATATAATGGTCACATCTCTGCTGTTCTCCTCTATGCAGATGAGCTTGTACTTATCTTAACATGGGTGAAGTCTGTAGTTTTGTTCTGTTATACTTTTTGGGCCAGCTGTTAGCTGTTGAGCTAGGATTAGCTGTTTGGCTAATGTTTAGCTTGTGTTTTCACAGGGGTAATTTTTTTTAGCTGTTGTCAGGCAGAACATTAGCTACCATGAGGCTAACAACTAGCTATTTTGATCAAAATTGTTACCTGGGGTTTTTCTATAACATATTTTTTAACAGTGCTCAACTATACTACTCTAGTATATTATACATGTATCAGTGCTAACAGTACACACTGTACTGGAGGTCAATATTAATAATGAAACTGTGACATTCTTCACCACACTGTGGCGTCGCCTCCTCTCCTTTGTTATTTACAGCCACTCTCTGGACCTGGACCTGGACCAGGACCAGGGTCTGGGTCTGGGTGGTGTTGGCTCTGAGGAGAGAGGTCATCATTAACAGGCAGCTCAGCTCAGAACTGAACACACACACACGGTGTCATGTAAATATACATGTCTGTAAAGTGACTCCTGCTCCACATTTGGACTCCCCCCTCTTCCCCCTCCGACCACAGTCTTTCTGAATGATCCTCACCGTCACCAGCCTCCGTCTGACCCAGTTCAAACAGAGTCAACAGACCTGGTCCACTCCTGGGTCACATGGTGTCGGCTGCGTCTCCTCGATTATCTTTTTAAAGTTCAGAGAACTTTTACCTCCTGGCCCCTACCGGGCCCCCAGCCAAACGTTTGGACACATCCACAGTCCAGTGTTGACTCAGACATCCTGAACCAGGTCCGACCCGGGTCACAGTGAGGGGGGGGGACTCCGCAGCTCCAGGTGTTTGTGTGTTCTGAGGTTGAAGGTTGTCCTTTATTTAGACACCACACACACCTGGCTGTGGATTTGAACCACCAACCTCCTCAAACATCCCACAGAACTGAGCCACAGCTGGAGTTTAACAACTATCATGCGTTGTCAGCCATTATGGATATGTGGTTCCACAGGGTCTCGAACCTAGAACCCTCTGCATGTAAGGCAGACGTGCTAACGTGCTAATATCACTATTCGTATTTTTTTACATGAAAAACTTAAATGTATATATAGAAAATATGGACAAATATTCCCTGACCACCAGGAGGCAGGCAGGAGCAGGAGCAGGAAGTAGAGTTGGGGCAGGGGTAGGACCAGCAGCAGGGGTAGGACCAGGAGCTGGAGCAGTGAGTGTGAAATTCTCCTGCTGGCCGTCTCCTGTTACAGCAGCTCCTCAGTCCAACTCAGTTTCCACTGAACTTTCACCTGTAAAGAATGAAACGGTGATTGGAGTCTGAACACGTTCAGACACAGCCATTTCTTCATGCATTTATATATGTATAAATATATTTAAATATATATGTATAAATATATTTAAATATATATTTATATACAATTATATATATTAAAATATATTTAAATATCTGTGTGTATCTATTTATACAGTATATATATCAATATATATTTTCCACTCACGAACCTTCTTTGCTCGTCTGACTTGTTCAGGTTCCCATTTCAGTACAAATACTTTTTTTTTTTCCATCTTATTCTTAATATCAACAAAATCCCCATAAAGTTTATGATATCAAATGTTTCATATGGTGGTTATCGCAGTGCTATAGTTATCAAATGAAAGTACGAAGGTTGAAGGTTTGGGCGACAGTCGCGGGGTTTTCATCGTCATCATCGCTCTCCATCTCTGTCTTCTTCTGTAGCAGAAAATTCATCCTGCAACATCCACACTGAATTTGAATGCGGGAACGGAGAGTGCATAGACTACCAGCTAACCTGTGATGGAATAGCCCACTGCAAAGATAAATCAGATGAGAAGATGCAGTACTGTGGTGAATAAAAACACACACACACACACACACACACA